ATGCCCGGTAAGAATGCTGCAGCCGTGCGTACGTGTGCCCTCGCTCGAGCGAATTTGCTCGCTCCTCTTTTGAATTGCTCGGCTTTGATTGAAATTGCTCGCACGTAAGAAATCAATTATTTTTATCCCATAGACACTTTTTGAATTTATTAGTGGCCGCGACGGGCCACCAAATTTAACTTTTTGGAAATTTGTGGGCCCGACATCAAGTTCTTGGTGGCCCGGGCCACCGGGGCGCACCGCTAGTGTCGAGCCTTGGATATAGGATAGCATATTACCTTGTGATTTACAACACTCAAACCTATACTATCATGCCCAACAATTTGATCCACCTGCGTGTTTGGAAATTGCGCGTCAACACAGGTTCTCAAGGTCATTGAGGGTAACTGCCGCACCCACAGTGACACCAGCGTCGGTCCACTTAATCTGGGAAAGGTCCTTCAGATGCCCAATAGCAATCAGATGAGTAGGTTGGGCCTGCTGTGTTTTCATGTCCAGCGCTGTTGTTCAAAAACCATAAACTTCTATCACTCCTACATGTAATTTTGATTACAAACAGTTTGCAATGTATAATCCACACTAGATTTAACACGTAAAAAAACATACGAATACTGCAAGACAAAAATCATGGAATGCATGTTTCTCAAAGAAAATAAAACTTGCACACACGAAGATGTGCATGTAAATCTACTTGTATATATAATAAAATAATACTGAGAAGGTGCTATAGTGTTTTACTATGTATGAGAATATAATTAACTCTTACTGGTTAGTACATCATATAGCCCAGCAGTTTCCTGGTAGTACCTATTTTTGTAAATCCCGAGGCAAAGACAGCGTGCGGATGTTCCGCTTTAAGCTTCAGGGCCTCATCAAGGTTGGCTGGTCTAAACCAGACTGACCGGCGACCTTGAAACTTCCGTGATGCATTTAGAGTCTCAAACTTGATCTAAATATACGAAACAAACATTCTGTTGCCTTGAGCCACAATTAACATTATAGAGGAAATGTTTTTGAATAAACCTCCAGAATTAAATACTAGAACAAATAAGCTTCAGTCTGAACAAATATGGTATCGCTAGTGGTATGAACTTTCACATTACAACATTACATGCAGACATGTGTCATAAGTAGATGCATATGATTTGAATGCAGTACTGCAAACTTACGCTGAGAGAGTCTATGTCCCCCGAGGTACTGCCGGAACGTACCCTGGGTACGGTCTGGTATACCGGAATGTACCCTGGTACTATCTAATATGCCGGACTGTAACTCGCCTACTCCACTAAC